CTATCGCATAACAATAGAAAAGCAAAACGATGAACAGGACTATTTCAATGCATATACGTCTCAAGGTTTTATATGCATAGAAAGACATCACAATGAAAATGTATACACAAGTTTTTTTTCTACATTGACGATGATATGCATCATTGCTTTTTGAGAAAAAAAAATCACAATGTGAGCGCAAAAAAAATAAACCAAGCTATTTCTCCCACAATCTATCGAAAGAAATTATATTTTTACAAAACTTCTTGTTGCTACGCAGCCAACGAGTGTATATAGTTGATCATAATTATACGATCAAATCATTCGACTAGTTGTTTATATTCATCCACTACGCACTACTCCATTATCGATAAGCAAATATTGATAATGAAACAACTCAGCATAATGATGTGTTGGATAGCCTTTATTGTATTGGCAGGAATAATATACATTGCACAATCAAGCGCCATTGAAAATACGGATGCGAAGAGTTTACTGCGTCAAATATGGAACATACATACGATTTTTTCGTTTATCACAACGTTTCAGGTTTCAGCATCATTCATATATTCAATTCAAAATCTTTACTTGGAATAAAACAAAATATCTGTATAATCATTTCTTATCAATTATTTCTTAATCAAGTATTCTTCAATGATATAATTGACTCGAAATCTTTGTTTTCAATTGAACAAAATATTTGACTAGTTGTTTCTTATGATTTATTCCTCAATCTGATGATTCTCGATGACATAATGAAATATAAATCTTTCCTTCGAATTGAACAAAATATTTCAATAATTGTCTTTTATGCATCGTTCTTTGATGAAATGTTAGTAAACTATATGTTCGACGGCAAATCTTTACTTTGAATTGAACAAAATATTTGACTAATTGTTTGCTATGAATTATTCCTTGATGGTATGTTCCTCGATGATATAATCAACTAAATATCTTTACTCTCTATTGAACAAAATATTCCAATAAATTTTTGTTACAAGATATTTCTTAATGTTATGTTGTTTGATGATATTATCAACGACAAGTCTTACATTTTTCAAGTAAATAAAATATTTGAATAATTTTTTCTTAAGATTTATTCTTCGGTTGAATCTTCCTTCATAATATTATCAAATACAAATCGTTGCTTTTAATCAAACAAAATATTTAAATAGTTATTTGCTGTAAGTTATTCATTGGTCGTCTGTTTCTGGATAATATGATCATGTACAAATCTTTTGCTGCGAATCTAACGAAATATTTGAATAATTATTTGCTATGAACTATTCATCGATTGAATGTTTCTTCGATTATATAATTCAGTATACATTTTTTCTCAAAATCAAACAAAATATCTGTATATTTGTTTTTTATAAGTTATTTATTGATCTTAAGTTCCTTGACGATACAATAAACTATAAATCTTTGCTACGAATTGAATAATGTATTTGAATAATTCTTTTCTATGAGTTATTCTTTAATTGAATGTTTTTGATTTGGTATAATCAACCCTAACTCTATGTTTTGGATTGAACGAAATATTGGAAAAGTTTTTTCTTATGATTTATTTCTTGATTGTGTATTTCTCGATGACATCATCAACTAGAAATCTTTGCTTTGAATTGAAAAAAATATTCAAATAATTGTTTACTAAGAATCATTCATTGATTGAGTATTACTTCCTTATATAATCAACTAGAATTCTTGATTTTGAATACAACAAAATATTTGAATAATTGTTTGCTTTAAATCATTCTCTACTCATATGTTTCTTAACTATATAATTCACTACAAATCTTTCCTTCGAATGAACTAAAATATTGAAATAGTTGTTTGCTATGAATTATTCTCTTGTCAAATGTTCGTCAATGATATAATTACCCGTAGATCTTTGCTCTGAATTGAATTAAAATATTCGAGTTGTTATTTGCTTTGAATTATTCTTTGATCGTTTGTTTTTTGATGATATGATTAACTACAAATTTTTTGCTCTTAATTAAACAAAATATTTGAATAACTATTTGCTGTGAGTTAGTCTTGAAATAAATGTTCTGCATTGATATAATTAACTTCAAATTTTTGTTTTGAATTGAATAAAATATTTGAACAATTTTCTGCTGTAATTTATTCACTGCTCGAGTATTTCTTAATGATATAAAATTAACTATAAATCTTTGTTTTGAATTGAATAAAATATTTGAATATTTATTTCTTAGAAATGATTTCTTTATCAATTGTTTCTCAATGATATAATCAAATATAACATTTAACTTTGAATGTAATCAAATATTTGAATAATTATTTGCTATGATTTATTTCTTACTCGAATATTTCTCAATGATATAATCAACTAAAAAATTTTTCCTATGAATTGAACAAAATATTTGAATATTTTTTTGCTAAGAATTATTTCTTAATCAAATGTTTCTAGATAATATAATTAAGTATAATGTTTGATTTTGAATGTAATAAAATATTTGACTATAGATATGTTAGGAATTATATTTTTATTAAGTGTTTCGCGATGATATTATCAATTATAAAATTTTAATTTGATTAGAACAACATATTTGAATAATTGTTTCTTATGATTTATTCTTTGTTTGAGTATTCTTTCATTTTATAATCAACTACAAACCTTTGTCTGAAATTGAACAAATCATTTAAATAGTTATTTGATATGAATTATTTCTTGATCGGAGGTTTTTACATGATATAGTCTACTAAAAATATTTTCTTTGAATTGAACACAATACTTGGATAATTATTTGCTATGAATTATTCCTTGATTACACGCTTCGGGAGTATATTATCAATAGTAAAAAATTTGTTTTTGAATCGAAGAAAATATTTGAATATCATTTGTTATCATTTGTTCATCTATAGCGTATTTCAATAGATATATGTCCATCATTATATCTTTCAAGTGACAAGCATATTTGAATAGGATATTTAAGTCAGGTATGTTTATATCAATATACTATTGATGATAACCCATTGAAAGAATATTTTGATAATATATTCTATTATTTATATTTTTTTTTTTCTATGAATTTATTATCATTTGAAACATTTTCTGAGACTCTCTTCACAAAGCGTGATAGATATTAGTCAGAGAGTATCATCTATTTTGGCAGATGTTGTTGATATGCGATCATAGATTGTATATCCAGATATGTCTTGTTATAGTAGATGAACTGATTGTTTATTGTATTTCTAGAAAATTGAAAGGAAGATGAAGATATGTATCATTTTAGTTCGAATAGAATGGTATTAACAACTTTGTTTTCTTTGTAGGACATATGATACAAGTACAATTTTACATATTTAAATGGAATATTATCATCAACCATTATAAAAAAAAACGAAAAGACATTATTCAATACATATTTTCTCAACTGACTTGCATCTTTTTTTTTAATATTCTCTCCATCTGTTCTCTTTATCATGTCGTAAACTTGACATTGTTGATATTTTCATGTTTTTTTTCGGTATTTTTCATAATTATTAAATTTATATTTCTTTTTATTAGCGATAAATTTTTTCAGAAAAATGTAAAATTTAAGTAACATTGGAATGATTTTAATATTGTTTCGTTTGAATATGATTAAGATAACTTCTTTAGTTTTTTTTGTATGATTTATATCTTTAATTATTTATTAGTTCATAGAAAAATGTAAATGTTGCTCTTAAAATTATATAGATTAATAATTGTCTAGATTTATTATTTTTATATGATTCGAATTTTTCTTTTTTTTCGAGCAGAAAGACATAGAAAACTTAAATGTTTAGTATTACTGAATTTCAGGTAAAAATTTGAATTGAATAATTGATTGAGTAGTAATGGAAATAGATACGAATTGTTAATTATCTATTCGATATGCTCTAACAATGATGTTACTGGTTGTCATCCATGGTAAAAGTTATAGACCTCAGACTTTGTAGTTAAATAATATTAAGTATGTACAATAATCAATCAAAGATTCAAAAGGTTCGCTTTCATTGAATACGAGAATGACAAATTTTGAGATCATCCTAGAACTTCTATGACATCCTTTTATAAGTAAATTTTGAAGAATATAAATAGACGAAATTAAATTTAAAAGTTTTTGAGCTTCGAAATTATATTCGTAAATAAAAGAACATATATTAAAGAAGTAATTCTCTTTTTTTGTTTTTACTGATTTCTA